TAAAATTTAAATGATTCAATTTAGTAAGCAAATTAAATTTTAGACACATTTATATGGAGAGTATTTTTTTTAGTTGCTTTAATTAAATTTTTTCATACCCTATACACAACATAAACATAATTCATTTGTAAGCAAAATACACGACATATAAATATTTAAATAATAATATTTCATATGATTTTTCACTAATATATTTTATTTTTCTTAAAAATCAAGTGATTCACTAAAAAAATTAAATTCTAATATTTTTTAAAAAATACTTAACTTAAGTGTTTTTAATTTTTATAATTGAGACAATCTTGAATTAAAAAAAGTAAAATTCAATTTATTTTTATGTTCTCAATAGATTTTACGCTATTGATTCATTGAATTTATATAATACAAAACATTACTACCTTTATATTATTTTAGTCATCCGTTCGTATATACATTTCAAAAAACATCTTAGCGAATTTTATACGAGCTTATATCTATAGATTTTCAAAAGGTAATTTTAGGAAAACTTCTTACAAGGTCGAAATAGTAGATTAAAATGTCAAAAACTACTAAAAATTGTACCAACAAAATATAGATAAACAGTATTATAGCTTGTTTTTAATATCGTAAGAGGTTGAGATTTCGTTTGGAAAACTAAATCAAATAAAAACATAAAATTTAATAATATATAAGATGCGTCGTTTATTCAGTTATGTATTATATAATATGTAAATTGTATACAATATAATATAAATAAATTGTTATAAAGTTTTCGCATTGTATATTAGCCAATGCGAAGAGAAACAAAATCTGATATTATCTTATTCGTGTTCGACTTATAAATTTCATTATTATTACTCGTTTTCTAACTCACTGTACCTACATATAATATGCAGATCGTTTATATGTATTATATATGCAACGCGCTGTGTATACTTGTATAGGTACGTTATATAGATACTAATATTTTTTAACATAGTATTGTATTGCATATAAAAAACGTCAACGTCAGAGAGCTTAGTTAAAGGATCATAAGGGCTTTCTAGTTTAAAATTTGAACTCATAAAGTAACGCATAAAGAAAGTCCTTCAACAATATTTTTCTTTTTAAAAATGTATTACACTAAAACAAAAAAGTTGACCCAACTTTAGCACTCGTTTGACCTCAGGCACGAAATGTCTCTCGTATGAGGGTGATTTCTATGGAATTTTACGTATATAGAGGTATAGTCATAATATATAATATAGGCATTGTATACCTTCTGTCTACAAGTAAGAAAATTTAATATTTTATTCATGAATATATGTTTATTTTTGTTACCACGTTTTTACTTTATAACGCCGTATTCATAACCACATTTGAACACCACATTTCAAAGGCACTAAGGCATTGCACATGCGAAAAAATCGTTTTCTTTTTTTTCTTAACAATTTTTATGATCAAAATACGCTTAATAGTATGTTAACTACTACTTGTTCTGTCTGTTGGAAGCCAAAACATTTCATGAAAAGTGTACAAAATGACTTACCTGAGTAAAATTAAAAAAAAATAAATAAATATCCCTTTAGACTTTAGGTTTATAGAGCTATATGCGATATGGCAGCTGTGAACTAATAAAATGTTCACCATAGAAATTCAAACGGCATTTATTTTACAACATTTATTTTACGTCAAAAAAAAAATAATAAAAATATATTACTATGATTACGTGAAATATATGTTTAAAATAAATTACGTGTATTAATATAATATATTCTTAAGTGTTAGGGTTTCAGAATTTTCTTTCTTTTTTTTTTTTTTTTTTATGTCAATAATGAACATTTGTGTAATTTTTGATTAATCATTTTTTAGGTATCATTTCGGTTTGATAAAAAAATGTATTATTCAATATACAATACTATTTTATATATTGTTTTGGTTATAAATACTTTTTCGTTTACGCAATTCAATCAAAATAGCTGACTTTAGAGTTAGAGTCGAAGAAAAATAATTGAACGACCATTATTTGGTTCTAATAATAATCAGTTGGTTCTACAAATTAGTTTTAATTTTTTTTCCTCAAATAATTTTTTTATTAGCATGCTTATTTCTACATTTAATAAAAATAAAATAAATATGTAGCTGAAAAAAAAATTATAATAAAATTATCAGTACATTATTGACCTTGAGTTTCGTGAAATTTATTTTCTATTTAATATGACATAGTTACAATTTATGTTGTGATTTTATTCAGCACTAATTTTGACTATTTAAAAACATGAAATTCATTAAATAATTCATAAAAGTGATTAAATTATTCAGTAAACAGTGATTCCTTAATTATATCAATATAACATTAAAAAAAATATGATATGGTTTAGATTTTTATTTTCTTATTTCAATAAATATTAAATAATCGAGTTTATAAACCTGCAGCGATAAAATTAAAATATAGAACTTACATATTACTTGTTATACAAGTATATCATGGGTTTATTAAGAAAAAAAGTGTAAAAAATATTAAGCAATCTTAAAAAAAAAACTAATTAATACTCATGGTGTTTATTATAATTTATTTTAACCATATGCAATATTAATGTAATGATACATACATTAATATTGCTATAATATATAATATACATACTTATTAGGCTTTTTCGATTTTAATTATTTTATGTGAAATTAAATTGTGTTCGTGTACCTACAACACTTTAAATTGTAGTACACGGTTGTGTTTTAAGTATAAATTAATGATTAGTTAACTTTATAGCTAATTTATATAACATACCAAAATATTATACTTGGATAAACATATAATCAGGGCTTGCAAATTTATAATAACATTATGATTATAGCGTTACATTTGACTAAAACGATTGAAATTAGTAAACGTGATTAAAACAGAAAACGATAAACATATAAATAATTAAATAACACAAAACAAAACCTAACGATTAACTAAATATATGATATATATCATCAAACAAAACATAACGCAAAACGTTATATAAAGTATATCGTTAAATGAAATAATTAATTTCCTATTATTTAAAAGTTATAATTTATAAAATAAATTAAGAATTTTTATCCTGAATAACGATATAAACGCAAAAGTTGAATAACGTTTAAATTCTGAATAACGATGAACTCAAAATGTGTATATTAATGTGTATTAATTATAAATAACGTATAAAACAATTTTTTTTTCAAATGCAAGCCCTGTATATAATATATTAATATATTTATATAATCTATGTTATATGTTATTTAAAAAACGAACTAAGTTTTAAATGGTATTCTAGGGCGTTAATTTGTTAGACATAACGGCTATTATTATTAGCGTAGGTTGCCAAGTATTACAATATTATAGTATCTAATAAAATCTGGTTTTATTTTATATACTAAAAAAAAATAATAATAATTTTACATTATACACAAAATAATTAAAAACCTAAGAAAATAATTAATTATTGCCTAATATCGATCTCGGAATATTTTTTACTGGCAGAGAAATTGTCATAGAACGACTAAGGTATCAACTGAATATATTAAAATTTTTATTTCAAAGAGTTGAAATAAAAATAGTTTTTGTTGCCACGAATATTTATCTATATATATATATAATGTACATCTGTACGGTGCTTATAGTCTTGGAAACTACTGAACCGATTGGTACCAATTTTTTTTCTCTATTGCTTCATATTTTAACCCCTATAGATTTCTATAGTGTAGCTCACATATAGATTTCGTTTAGAATCATGAAACTCGTATATTATTTGTTTCTATGTATAAATAGTTACTATTGGTTACAGAAATCAAAGAAACTTAAACAATATAATCTATAGATAAATATAAATGTTTTCTTTTTCTTTTTCTCTTTTAAATAAACTAAAAAAAGTTTTGACCGATATTAAAAGAAAATTTTTATTGTTCTTAGAGATATCACAGAAGTTTAGAGAGTAGTTTGAAGCACGTTTGAAAATAAATCAAGTGCTTTATCCATCCATCTATCTCGATCAAAGCGGTACACTGATGACTGTATTTTAAATTTGTCCAATTTTTTACGGACAAAATAGGGTTATAAAACAAGTTAATTTAAAAAAAAAAATCATATTATCAATCGAATAACATTTCAATTTATAAATTTGGTTAATCATATTAGATACCATACGGCATAACATTTATAATTTGTGATTTATCAACTATTATTTGGTTTAGATTTATGCGGGCAGTGCATGTATACAACGTATCGTCTCACACAATCGTGATCACTGGAACGAGTTCAAATATAGGTAAAATATAATAATATTCCTATATAAGTCCAAGTATCGTGTAATCCGTTCGACAGGTACCTACATAATATTTATTCATTACGTGTTACTAATATTGTTATTAATAATTTGTGTGTTATCGGTAAGCGACCGTCATATTACATCCTATAAAAAAATCCCGCGTAAGTCAGTAGGTAGCCGAACATAAACGATCTAATATTATATACGTTTCTAGTATTTACAAAAAAAATAAAACACACCTCTCATACAAATTATAAAATAATAATAAATAAAATTGTGTTTGGGCGGTCGAATTCGTAGCGGTAGATAGGAGCAAGGACAATAATTGTCGCTTGTATATTATATGTGTAAAATATATATATAAATATATAAACCTATTATATTATATTCATATGGTGTACCTTGTACGGTGAGCGGGGGAGTAAGTATCCACCGTCGATCACACACGAACGGGTTATTATTATTATTTTAACGGTCCATCAGCTGTGCTCAACACTGCCATCGGCACAGCATCACCGTAATCGTCAGAGAGACCATCAAAGAACGCGATTTTTTTTTCTAAATTGTTCTACTCGCACACGCCATATGGAAAACAATACAATCGTCGTCGTCGGTGGCTGTGGCATCGATGGTGGAAGAAGGGGTACACGGCCGCCACCACCGCCCGCCAAGCTTCCTGTTCCGGTCGGTTCGGTGCCGGTCGTGTTCGGTCGCCGTCGCAGTCGCCGCCGCTGCCGCCGCGCCGTCGCTACCACAGCTCGGCCCTCGGCGTTCGCGTCAGACGCAATTCCGACACGGCGGCAGTCGTACGTTCCGCGATCACACGCACACACCGCGACATTTTTACCTTTTACACACTGAACACACCACCTTAACCACCACCATCATCATCACCTCCACCACACCTACTCAAACCCTTACAGAACACCACACACTCACGCCGTCCCGAGTCCCGTTTTGTTTTTACGGTTGTTATCATTTTCGCGCGTTTTACACCAATTAATAAGAAAAAAAATAATTTTAACGTCGATCGATCGTCAATCTTAGACTCAGTTTTTATTTTTCTCTTTGACCGTCGCGTGTGTGCATTACCTACTCTACAAAGAATATATCGAGTACAATAAAATCAAGCAAAAAATAAAATCGAAATATCGCCGAAACGACTGTGCACGGACGGTCGACCGCCCTCACCGTCCCTGCAGTAGTGACCTGCCGTTGTCACCGAGTCTGCAAATTACCGCCGTCGTTGTCTGGGATCGAAGACACAATACCGCTGATCAGCTGCTGCAGAAACCGTGCCGCGCCACGGTAGTGACCACATGTTGGCGCTGGTAGTGGTCGTCACGCAGCATTACACCCACCCGGTTGAATCGTGGAGGCCGTCGCCGTTGGAGGGTTGAAGAGGGCCCGAGGTGGTGCTTACAACGGACCAGAGGCCGCCGCCGCGACCCTCAAGAAGCTCAGACTGGACGCCGCCACAGCCGCCGCAGCCGCAGCCGCAGCCGCAGCGATGAACATGTCGCCAACAGGTCATACGCCACCGCTGCAAGTCCAACAGCAGCAAGGACCTGGCAACGTGTCGGTCGACGGTCAGCAGTCCGTCGTCACTGGCATGTGCAACAGCATCGATTCCGTCGGGCCCGGCGAGGAAGAGGTAAACACAACTATAATACACTTAATCGCAATATCCGCGTCACTTTTATTATTATCGTCTGAAATAACCCTTTCCCGATCGATTCGAACGTCATGATAAGTATCCTTCGACATTGAACGTGTGATATTATCTCTCATATACCCTATAATCGATGTCATAATAAAATAAGTAATATTATGGATATAAGCCGGTTAGGCCGATTTTGGCTAGTAATTTTAGTGATTCGTATTCAGCCGCATAGGTACGACACGATATTGGTAAACCTAGACGATTTAGCCATGTAGCCTCATATAATAATAATATTATCATCGTGACAACGATTCGGTGGACGTACGGGCTGAGGGCGTCTCCCCGTGTCCACCGTGAGAACGTTTTCTAATAATAATAGTAATAATAATAATACTGTATTTTTCGACGGATGTGCGTCGTATAATCCTTTGCTCGGCCGTCCCGTCATGTGTCCCCCCACGCTTGCCGCCCATCCACCCATGAGCCTAACATTTTATTATAATATAATATATTTAGGTGCACTATGTACTATATTATGTATGTATAAGCGACACGCTCGTTATTTGTGTGTAAAACTTGCACACACACACGCACACACAACACATAGGTACACACACACACGCTATACTGTTTGCGAGTGTTACATAAAATATACGTTAGTGCACAAAAAAAAAAAAAAACAATATGTTTGTTAGGGCTTGGCTCGCCGCCGTCGTCGTCGAATGTGATAATTGCTCCGAACGAGGACACGACGAACGACTGCAGCAGCAGCGTCGTTTGTACATGTCGCGTGTTATAATATTACCTTTACATACTTATGTGTTTAATATTATGTATGTCGAGTGCACTACACCCTATACTCTCCACCGTCGCCAACACCGTTACTCCTAACCCCGTATCAATAGTCACTAGTTCTCATCAGCGCACCGGTCGGAATATCTTATCATTTACTTCGGAGATCGACGACAACAGCGTACAATACAATCGAGAATCGCGGATGTGAAATATCGTTGTTTGCGTACGTGCTCATACTTGACTTGAAATACAAACGTTTTCAGTACTCCTCAAGGTTTTTTTTTTTAATTACATGCATATTATATAATGTAAAAGAGTGACGCGAAGATTTCAAACGATGAGCGCCGAAAAACGAGAGTCTGCAACGGCTGCGATCCTTGCACGGTCTCTGAAGTTTTGTTGACGTCATGCAACGTATAATCATACGGTTCGTCTGCATCGTAATCTCACGCGAATGCTGTTACTAGTAAAATCTCCAATGAACTTCATCTCTTGGCATTATACTAATATTAATGCACATACACTCTATATTAACGACCGAGAACACGCCTAATGATGCTATGACCAAATTACCATCGTCGTGATTTTGAGAAAACACTATCGCGCCGTAAAGATTCTATATCGGAGTTCTGAAATTAATGTCGACCGTGGACATTTATTTAATTTTTTCAAAAAGAATAATAAAATAATTTAACCATTTTCAAAAAGCGTTTAATAGTTTATTACATGCGTTGAGTCTGTACACACTTCACCATTCCTTGCCAATCTTTGGCGGCGGTGACGGTTATATTTCATGAGTTTTCGCGCAGGTGTGCCACTCGTTTCTCCCAAGTTTCGGATGAAAACGATTCCGTATGCAAATAATGCTATCGGTCGGGCCTATGTTTTTTTAGGTTATATAGATTTCAGGTGTGGGTGTCGCGCACATAACGTCATCGTCGTTCGTCGTTTTGTAGTCGTCGTCAACGGCGGCACTACCGTGTACACAACATTACAATACTTGCAGGCTGCAGCTAACACGCGCGCGATCCCACCTCGGCGCTAATTACCAGTCGTTCACGGTCCGCCAGATACGCTGTTCAAATATACACACGCCCAGTGGTTGCCAAAACGTGAGGCGTAAAACGAAACGACCGAGCGCGTGACAAAGTTTATGACGATAACAAAAATAACGCGTAAAGAACGTATATTCTCCTCTGCAGTGAAACGGTCGTAAAAATGACGTTTTAATATTATTGTTATTATCGGCAAGTAGGTACCTATGTTATAATATTGTGTGCCACCGAAGTTTCGTAAGACGTGCACACGGGGAGTGCGGCAACATGTGTTCACCTGAGGGGCAGCTGCTGCTCCCCGTGAGAACAGCTGATCGCCGTCGGGGTGGTTACCGATGACGGTGGCGGGTGAGCGCTATCGTCTGTGACGGGATTTCGACGCGCGAGTGCGTGCGTGTGCGCACGTTAACAAGACTCCCTCCAAAATGACAGAAAAAAAAAAATGAGGCCCGTCAAAAACATCACGTTTCCGGTGACGACGTGATCTTAAAGCAATCGACGGCTACGGGTACAAAAAAAAAGAGATCTTCTGAAAAAACTGCGTCGAAGGTTCAAGAAATTTATCATTATCAGATAAATTCGGATGCTTCTTTATGATATATGTGTTGCAGTTAATAATATGAAACGTATTTAATAGTGTAATTTTATGCACAATACCGGAGATATTGCAATAGTAAGCGAGTATTTCAAGAAATCACATCGTCACCCTTTTATCAATAAAGTCGAAATATTAAACTCGGCTCAAATAATCACGCCGGTGCACTGGGGGCTAGGGGCAAGGCGTGGTCATCGTAGTATATAGTATAACTGGTTTCTGCAATAACCCTCTAGACCGGAATATTCCGAAATACTATCATAAGCCCCGCAATAATATCCCGTCTTCATTACAATATTGCAGTGTGACTACTGCGGAGACCTCGCGCTGCTACAGTCTTCGTCGACATTTTAATACACGTTTATGTATATATTTTATTGATGCGCACCCTCAGACACGACCGACTATTTTAGAAATCGGAGTCTTCCATTAAACATTTCACAGTAGAAAAAAAATACTAAACGCGTTGGCGCGCGGAGACTACGTGATGGAGTATTATTATTTATACATCATATATATTACTATACAGTCGGCAGTCAGCTGCAGCAGCTGCCGTTGTTCCTTGCGAGACAGAAACTTATGTATAGGTACGCTTCGCCCGTTTTCGGGTGACGCGCTCTGTATACGCGAGTTTATGTGCCACTCTGTATATTATATTGTACTCCGACGGCTCGCGTATTATATGTATACCGACGTAGGGTGATCTGGTTTTGAAATGGAATCTTTTTATTACTAAATTTTTTTTTTCTTTTTTACATTTGAGCGATTTTGACACTGCTGGGCGATGAAAACATTGTTCGCATATTACATCATATTGTACTCGCGCCATGCAGTGATGATCGTCTTTAAAATCAGCACGAAAATCTGATGATAAATCCGAGCGTGTATAACTACTCTACAACGATATGATTGTGTGTGATAATAATGTACTATCACATAGCATTTGTGTAGTTTGTCGTAATATTTTTTTCTTGTGTCGCGCCTCTCACGAGTATACATTATAAAGTATATATATATAGAAGATTGTGATATAAAAACTTTAACTGCGTCGGCGGGCGCCAGTCGGCGCATAATTCAACGTTCTCTCAACGACTAGCTCCGCCGTTCTCAAGCCACTCGAGACGACGTCTATAATATACCCAAACACACACACAGACATCGGGTCTCGCCCCTCGTTATGGCCAAGAGTACACACGTCTATTATCACAACACCAGCAACCTACCCCTCTTCTCCCACGTATAGTCACTGACAACAAGATTGTACGAAAGAAACGAGAAATGTCCCCTTGCATGCGCCCCGAACTCAATTGCGGGTGCTAATTACGCCGGATGACTGTCAGCGAGTGGATACGTGATATTTACGCGGAAATAAAGACCGCGGTACAACTACTACATGCACTCTGTCGACGCTATCGCGGATGTATAATATTATCCGTGACTTTATTCGAATAAAATTTACATTTTCTGGAATTTTTCTCTGTTTTATCAAATAAAACGTTCGCCACCACAAAACTCGTAAACTCGCTTCCGCGCGTGCAGTTATCGACTCGTAAATCCTTCGGCTGCGACGGCGGGCATATGGCAAGCGAGGTTCGCGTGCTAGCGTTCACCGTATGCTGTTTCCGTCCGGAGGGATAGTTGTGGCTAACAATGACGCCACTGCTACTGCCACTGCTGTCGTAGACATTATTCCGACGAACTCGATCTTATATTATACATGTTTTCTAAAGACTGTAATATAGTACCTATAACAGTTAATTCACTGATGGAGACGACGACGACAAATTTGATATAATTACCAACACGTCATCATAATATTTCCGATAAAAACTAATACGCACACGAATAATAAATTTATAAATGTCACTATAACGGTACCTATATATATATACATAACGCGCATGCGTTTTGTACAGACGCTGCACATAATATACATGAACGCAATTTTATATATTGTATGCTTATACTTTATGTATCGCCGACCGACCGTATCTGGTCAAGCTCTGAAAACCAGTTTAAGCACGAGCTGAAACGCCAATTGAACGTCATCGTATGTCGATGACGATAATGATAATGATGATGGTGACGATGATGGGCAACGTAACGTGTTCACGTCGCGAAGTTCCTGTACAGTCGCTCAGCCACCGCCATCCATCGTCGACTTATGTCCAATAATATAATATATTATATTATTATACAAATCTTTTATTTCCAGTACATCGCGATCGCACTGTAGCCGTTATTCCTTTATGAAACATAAGAACATTAATTATTTAAATTATATTACCAATGTATATATTTTATATCTAAGTCGCTTTATACCGCGATAATAACATAAAAGCTCGCAAAAAAAATAAATATTTTTATTAGTTTTTTTTTATTTCGTTACTTCTATACACTTTAAAATTGAATATACGTGTGTACATCTCGCGTTACAGTATTATTTATATATTTTAAACATATCCGTAACGTTTTTTTTCAAACTTAGATTATATGTAGATTGACTTTTTCAATTACACTATGTACGTCTGTAGATTATTATACCT